CGAAATTCGATCAAGTGTGCTCTTGTCAGAAATTGTCGGATGCTAGAGCAATTTTCGATTTAACAATGTTCAACAATATTTCCTCTTTCAATTGCCGATATATTTTTTGTGAAAACACAACGTAGACTCTGAAACATGCTACGTAGTTAGATGCCTGACTTCGTAAAGTAAAAACTTTTTGTGCTTAAGATGCATAAATGGTTTTGCCCTCTTTATTGTTAAGATCAGCTTTTCCATGAAGTTGCTTGCATTTAATTGATTGATTTAGAGAATTTTAAATTTTAAATCTTCTGGTTGTAAGGTGGCTAATAATTCAAGCCTGATCAAATACGAGTGCGGCAGCAGAATTTGGCATCACTTCCAGCTTCTTGATCTGCTCACATTGTCCGCAGTTTTCCAAACGAAGTGACAACGATTTTGAAATAGCTACACTGTGCCTAAGCGCACAATAAGCCAAGAACTAAGGTTTGCATCGCCAACAAAAAGTTTTCACACTGGATAAGCTGGAGTGAAATGCAGGTAATTTCGGTTTTTACTATGTTTATTGCTTCATCCTTATGACCCCTCAAAACTGCCCATGTGTCTGTACAGACACTTGGAATAGCAGTAATTCAGAAGTTTGGCAAGTCAGATAAATCGCAGCTTACACTATCTAATTACTGCGAGACCTTCTTCTAAACAGAAGTGTGAGTTCACGTCTGAGAATAAACTTGATGCTTGTCCACAGACCCATCTTTTTATAAAAGTTCCTTTAAGATCAACTTAACACGAGAAGATTAGTTTAGGTAGTTTTCCAGAACAGCCAGTCAATTACAAGCAATCCAAAAAAGGACGAATTTTGCGGCATATGGGCATGATGAGAATTTCCGCATATGAAGGCATAAATGTGTTCCTATGAAATTTTACGGAACCTATACTTCGTTGCAGAGTTTGAAATTGTCGCACACAATAAAACCTGTAGCCATTGAGGAAGCAAAGATAGTAAAAACGCGCCCATTATTTTGACCAGCTTCTTTGCATTTTTAAACATTTTTTAAAATGTTTCTGACTCATTACATTAAATAAATTTGTCATATTATAGGATAGTTTTTTGACATGAACACATATTGGTCGAATTTCCCGAGAATATGCTTCACAGTGGATTGAGAAGTACCAATTTTTTGCGTGCATTTGTAAAGAAGTATGTATAAAAAGTATCGCGCATTCATGCAAATAAAGTACACATATGTCTAAGAACTTGTAAATCTATGAAATATAAAATTAAGAAGTTGAACATCTTTTTTATGAAGCTACTTACAATGACTCCTTAGCTCTATTAACCTGGCCTAGTTAATGCCTTTGATGCTCTCTTCACGATAAACGCACCATGCATATCTGCCAACGAGCTCGTCGCGTGTTTGCGCTACTGCAAACAAAATTGTATCCGCGGGCTAATTCTAAAAACAGCAATTCTGGCGAAATCTCAATTTCCTCATCAAATGATCAAGTCTCCTAAAATATTAGCTTTTGAAAGTGGGACAAAAGAATTTTTCAAAAGCGGTGGAAACGTGAAGGACATAAATCCTTTTAAAGTAGTTTGTCAGAATCAAAATGAACTTTAGAGTTGACGGCGACTGGGTGGAACACTTGTTATTTAGATTCTTGAAAACTTGAATTGATAGCTGCTTGATTGCAGAATTATCAAACTCTCACATCGTTCACTTCTTTTAGCGCGAACTTTAATTTTTGACTAATTTCTTTTCTAAATTCTTGTCCACCCTAATGGACTGTGATCTTCGTCTACTTTGATCCTGAAGACTTCAGCGTTTAAATAG